CGTCTTATCATAGATGCCTTTCCTGAACGAATATTGACGATATCTCCAGCCAGTGAAGGATCCTGCTCCCTTCTGGCAGCTTGCAAGTTGCCAACCGTTCTTGGCATTCATGATTGGGTCGAATCGCTAGATCGGGTTGAACAAGGTGCGGTAACCACGAGATTGGACACACTTTATTTTGTCAAGTTACCTACCTTTATTTCGTTTCATAACGTGTGAAGATGCCTGTATCTCCATGGTGCCAGCACGTGGTCACTTACACAGCTCCAGTGACCATTAGCTTCAAGGGGAGGCTAGAAAACTCAGGACCTTGATCGTACCAGTAAGTGACAAAAAGACTTAGGTTGTTCAGCATCAGTTAAGGATACATTTTGCTAAATTTATTTTGATACGCTATGTCAAGGTTCGATGTTTTTTTGTTCCCCGACGCCCCCAAGGAGGACTACGTGTTGTAAAGTGCTGTCAGTTTCCTGGTAACTTACCCCGTAGCCTACCTACCAACCTTAGTACCTACTTTATCTCCAAAGGATCCACCGTTGCTATTCGTCCCTTTCAGACTGACACAGTTCATCAAAATCAAATTGACTGAAGTCCCCTACTAATGGGTCCTTTATGTATATATGCCTTTTCAGTTGTCAAATCAGCGTTTCTCGGGATATATAGCCTACACGCATGTGCATTGGCTGACTTACCAAACGCCATGCATTGCTGCAATTGGGCTTCGGCCACTCCTCACGGAAGATCCCCGAAGCACATCCTATCTCAAGGCAAGTTTTTACAAAAGAAGCAGGCCAACCGCACAAACTGAATCGTTCTAAGGGCGTTTGTAGGGTGATTCTTTTCGTTCTGCCTCCAATGCTAGCTCAATCTAGTCCTCTCTCCTACCGTTGGGGTCAACAATGAGCTCGGGTTCCTGCGGGAGAAGAATAGTGTTTGTACATCATTGGTCGCTTTGACACAAAAACTGCCTGTTCTGGATGACGCCCTGTTTCGAGCTTATCACGTGTCTGGACAACTGTCTGTAATCCCCCAGCTGTCCGAGCCTGATTACGGTGCTCTGCTCTCTCCTGGGGATCACATCTCTCTCTTGGAGAGTACATCAGCAATCTAACTACAGGTTGCGGCCAGGCAGGCAACTCACAAGGGGTAGCTCCGGTCTTGTGCAGCTGGAATGCCCAGTCAACCATCTTCGATTCTGGCGGCCGTCCCGACATCCTTCTTACCATCGCTCCCGGTGCGACGCCTGACATGCACAGCATGGCACCCATGTCGCAAGAGACGATTCGCTTCGACGACGACTCGCCTTTTACATGATGTTCCCATCTTGCCTTTTCGATTCGAAACAGGCATTGGACTCTTTGCGAAACGACCTCCCCGCCCATTCCCTCCGCCTTTCCTCTCTCCTCCGTCTACATCCTTTACCGATCCTTTAAGTACACATCACCAGAGCCGTGACCGTCGTGCTTTTGTCAACGGACAGCTTATCAGGGGGAAAACAAATGGCGATGATGCTGTCTATGCGAGTGATTATTTCATTTGTGCCAACGACGGCGTGGGCGCGTGGGCCACAAGACCGAGAGGGCATGCCGGGTAAGTTGCCGGGCAACTTCCGAGTCTCTCTTACCATCGTTACTGATTGAACTGCAGGCTCTGGTCAAGACTGATTGGGCATTTCTGGTCTTCTGCGATCGAGGAAGAACTTGTTGGATTACCAAGGTCGCAAGAACCGAACCCCATCGCCAGCCTACAAAGTGCATATGAACAGACTCTCGAAGCGACTACGTCGCAAGACTGTTTGGGAACAACAACAGCATGTGGCGCGCAATTACATTACAAGACTTGCACCGAGAATGAAGCGCAGGCATCGCCCGTCTTGTATGTGACTAACGTGGGCGACTGCCAGGTCATGGTACTCCGACCCAGTACTGAAAAAGTCATCTATAAGACCGTGGAGCAGTGGCACTGGTTTGATTGCCCACGACAGCTTGGGACTAACAGTCCTGACACACCCACCGATAATGCAGTTATGGACAAGGTCGATCTGGAAGTCGGAGATATTGTACTTGCGATGAGTGACGGGGTTATCGATAATCTTTGGGAGCATGAGATCGTTGCAAGAATACTCAAAAGCGTTAAAGAGTGGGAATCTGGGACACATGCAGAAGCTCACAAGGGTGATCGCGCAGGTGGCCGCAACGGTGGAATGAGAGTTGCGGCTCAAGATCTGATGGAGGCAGCCCGGGAAATCGCCGTAGATCCTTTCGCCGAGAGTCCATTCATGGAGCATGCGATCGAGGAGGGTTTAGCAAGCGAGGGTGGTAAGCAAAAGCGACGAGTTTCTAAGAGAGAAAGTAAAGCTAACAGTAGCAGGTAAACTTGACGATATCAGTGTTGTCGCAGCCCTCTGCGTGAAAAATGAGGGATGATACTAGTCTCTTTGCTGGACAACTGAGACATCTGGACGGCTTCCAGTAGACTTGCCGGATCGACCCTTCGAAGCATAAGATACCTAATTACATGATTTAATGATGGAGAGGTGAACACATGGTTCTCATATAACGAGTCATCATGAATTACATAGAAAAGATCTGCCTAGACAAAATTCAGATATGGAACCTCCATTATAAAATAATACTATAGCACTTGACTTATTTTCAGCCCCAGATAAGAGCCATGGCAATATAGAGAAAGAAAGAAAACTCAGGACTTCGATCCTAAACAACAAGAAGACTTAGGTAACTTACTACAGGTACCAAAGTTCAGGGTAGTCTCAGTATACCTCTGCTGAGTTTATTTGACATTTTATTCCAAGGTCTGATGTTTTCTTGCTCTCTGCCCGGCAAATGAAGGAAGTGGGATGGCGGGGCATGAGGTGACAGCCATAGTGCATGTACCAGCGGGTCGGGTTTAGCTTATCGCACGTGCCGCGATAAGGAAATTTATTTTCTGCGAGCCGTGACTTCGTCGCATCCAGTCCTAGCAAGTCTAAACAATCACCTAGCTTGGTTCAACAAATCATTCAAAATGAGAGGAAAGCGGTCAAAACAATATCGGAAGCTCATGGAGCAGTTCTCCCAGACTTTCGGCTTTCGTGAGCCCTATCAGGTTCTGGGTAAGTTGTCGCAAACTTAAGCCAGGTAGACAAAGCTTACAAGTTACAGTCGATGCCGAGATGGTGAGAGATTCTTCCCGGTTCAAGATGGACCTCGAGCCCGCTCTGTCGAGGACAGTCCATGGCAAGGTCAAGCCCAGTATGTTTCCTTGACAAGATTTGTCGTGGTCAATCTTCTAACTGGAATAGTGATTACTCAATGCGAAATTCGCAAACTTTATGCAGCGCGAAATGAGCCAGGTGTTCATGAAGCCATTGACCTAGCCAAGACTCTGGAGCGAAGACGATGCGGTCACCATCCCGACGATTATCCCGAGCCATTGAGCACTCAAGAGTGTCTTCGATCAGTTGTCGACCCGAAGGATACACTTCAGAATAAGCATCGCTATGTTGTGGCCAGCCAAGACCAGGAGGTACGAAGGATGCTGCGAGGCATCAAAGGAGTCCCCCTCATCTATATCAAGAGGAGTGTTATGATTCTGGAGCCAATGGCGGATGAGAGCGTTCAAGTGCGAGCAAAGGAGGAGCGAAGCAAATTTCGAGCAGAGATCAAGAACCAATTGGGCAAGCGGAAGCGAGAAGATGCAGACGACGACGAGAAGGCCGACAAGAAGACTGATAACAACTCTGAAGAACAAAAACCGAAGAAGAAGAAAGGACACGGACCCAAGGGGCCTAATCCTTTGGCGGTCCAGAAACCCAAGAAGGCAAAGACAGAAGGACAACAACCACGAAAGGGAGAATCTACTGATGCGAAGGACGCCCCACAAGAAGGCACCGGCAAACGAAAGAGACGGAGGAGAAACAAGGCCACTGCAGCAGATGACCGTGAAATGGACACTTCAGCAGCGGAAGTGACCATGGCAGAGTCATGATAAAGCTAGCAAGCAAAGCGGGTGGCAGTCTCCTGGGTTGAGACAGGAATGCTATGATCACCACGTGCTTGATCTGGAATATGTGCCAATGAAGGCAGGGAATATCAAAAGGAGTGTGCGCCGTTAGCGATACCCGAGAAGATAGCATAGATTGAGGGAGTCCAGGGGCGCATGAAAGGAATAAATAGTGTTTGAGCGTCAACAATGTTAGCAATTTACAGATCATGATTCACTCGGTCCTAACCAACTCTTCATCTTGCAATGACCATAAACTATATCAATTGTTGAAGCTCGCCTCAAATCAAAGAAAGGTATGCCTAAGTAGACAAATCAGGGGTCGCGTGAGGTATGAAGGAGAAATTGATTTGAGAACAAACCATATTATATTGAATGACGAGACCCATCCCTGAGTTACAAGGGTGCCCTGCACTATGAACCCTCTGGGCAGGCACATTGCCCATCCACTAAAAGCAACCAACCACTGAGAGCCCTGCCATCCGCTGTCTGCTAACTTAGTGGAGGACCACCAACCGCTTCCGCCGGACTCAGCCATCTTTTCAGATGGGATGGGTCGACCCCCACTCAAAGTAATGTCAAGTTGGATTCTATCCATCAATAATTATAGGAGTTTTGTTCCTTTTAGTTTTGAGAGGGACGAGGGGAACAATAAGCCCACCCCTTTCAACAACTCGTCTCAGCTTCTAAATCATTGAATCCGGGTGTGCATTTCACGTCGAACAACCACTTACATCATCGCACCACAGAGTTCTCCTTTGACGGCCTCAACCTAATCCAGGAGCCAGAGGATTCCTCCGTCCACTCGCAGCACTTGCACTCGGGTCGAATGTCATCTACAGATCTTCGGCCCTTTCGATCCATTCTTTCAAGGCGCATTACACGTAGCCGAACCAGCTTTCTCTTTACTTTATCTTTCTGTCGCAGAAGCAATTCTTTCCGCCGAGCCCGTTGATCGGGAGCCCCAGACAAACCACAATTCATCATTGATTGACATCATGACTACACCTACCGAGGTTGACGATTTCGGTCTACCCATCAGGCGCTTTCCAACTCCGAAGAACGATGAGCCTACCGAGACATCCAAAGATGAGAATCCTACTGCAACTCCAGTAGCAGATACCTCGAGCGGTGAGCAACCGATAGTGTCCGAGACGAAGAACGATAAGTCCGGCGATCAAACAACACCCTACGCCGTCGAATCTGTTAAGGATGACGACAAGAGCGAAACTTTTGAAGATGCTCGATCTGAACAGTCAAATCCTAGCAAAGATACTTCAAGCCCGCCTTTGGCCACGGACGAAACCCCCACACCAACTTTTAGCAAAACTCCAGGAAAGATCGAGGCTACCGAGGCCAAAGATATCAGCGACCAGGAGCCAAAAGATTCAAGAAAGACACAGTCAGAAATTCCAGAGGCTTCCAGAGAGCATACAGATGTCGATGTCGCTATCAAGAACCAAGGGACTCCCAAGCCAGACGATCCGACGCACAAGGGCTCAGTGGAAACACAACCAGAGGCAGCAGATCTTGTCAAAGAGTCTACAGGTGACGAGGTAGCTGTCAGTAAGGAAGAGCCCCCTCAGCCCAACAAAGTCACGCCAACTCCTGTATCGCCTACGCAGGCCAATCGAAAGGATGTTTCTGAGTTTTCCCACCAGAAGATCTCTACCAAGCCAGAAGAACCTCAAAAAGGGGTGGAAGAGGATGACTGGCAAGAAATGCCTTCTTATGCGCGATACGATATGTACAACGACGACGACAAACTTGTGGCAAGGGAATACGATCCGGAACAGGATGAATCATACGAATATGGAGGACTTGGAGGTGCTGGCAAGGGCTACACTCGGGTAACATTGGACGATGATGCCGAGTCGGCAACAAGCATGGACGACAATACGAAATATCTCTTCAAGAGCGCAGCCGGAACCAGTATGGTCGACGATGATGAAGGACGAGATGCTATCGGTCAGATGCAAGCTACCAAAGATCTCTTGACAGAAGGCCAAAGAGTTGCATACGTTGGATTGGTCCGTCTCGAGATCGTCAGACTTGTGAAAGAGGCGGAAAAAATGAAATCGTTCAAGAAGACAAAGAAGGAGGTTGCTATTTCAGTTGAATCCATGCTGATGTGGGGTCAGAAAATGATGCTTCGACTGTACGCTCATATGGAGATCAATGAAGCTGAGCAGATTATGATCGAACAGTTGGCAGAACATGGAGTTATGCCGCAGGACTTGGCGCCCGCGCTCAATACTAATGCTCGAGTATCAAATCCCATGGCAGATGGCGAGTCGTCGATGCCAAGCACCCCATCACTGGACGAGAAGCCTGCAGAGGCACCGCCGCCATATGAGGTGCTTGATGGCGAGGAGCTCTCTGAGGTGAAGACACCATCACAGCTCCCCACCACCGCAAAGATCGATATTGATCTTCGGTGGACTGTGCTTTGCGACCTCTTCCTCCTCTTGATCGCTGATTCTATTTACGATTCCCGCTCGAGAGTTCTCTTGGAGCGAGTTGGTGAGAGCCTCGATATCACGTGGGTAGATATCTGCCGTTTCGAGAAGAAGGTCACAGAGGCTCTGGAGATGCAGCAAGCCGCCGAGAAGGAGAACTGGAACGAGGAAGAACACACGGAAACTCGCAGGAAGAACGCATTGACCCGGCGATATGTGATGATGGGATTGGCCACCGTAGGCGGTGGGTTGGTCATTGGTCTTTCGGCAGGTTTGCTTGCTCCTGTCATCGGTGCTGGCCTGGCTACCGGATTAACAGCCATCGGAGTGACTGGCACGGGAAGTTTCCTCGGTGGTGTAGGGGGCGCAGCCATCATCACCTCGGGCGCAGCAGCGTCAGGCAGTATCATCGGAGGCAGGGCTGCGGACCGAAGAACTGGCGCGGTTAGGACGTTCGAATATCGTCCCCTTCACAACAACAAGAGAGTCAACCTCATTGTCACTATCTCGGGGTGGCTGACAGGTAAGGTCGATGACGTACGACTGCCATTCAGTACGGTAGACCCTGTCATGGGTGACCTCTACTCAGTGCTCTTCGAGCCTGAGATGCTTCGGAGTATGGGTGACACTATCAACATTTTGGCTACTGAGGTCAGAAGATTTACACCCTGTTCTAATAGAAATTATCAGACTAACGATCACAAAGGCTCTTACACAAAGTATCCAGCAAATTCTGGGCACAACCATACTAGCTGCTCTCATGTCAGCTCTGCAGCTACCGATAATTCTTACCAAGCTTGCCTATCTTATTGACAACCCATGGGCTGTCTCGCTTGACAGAGCCACCTCCGCTGGAAAGATTCTAGCAGATTCCCTGCTAGAACGTAACCTAGGAACACGGCCCATTACCTTGGTTGGGTTCTCGATCGGCGCACGAGTCGTTTTCTCTTGCCTTCAGGAGCTCAGCAAGAAGGGGGCGGTTGGTATTGTGCAAAATGTCTACATGTTTGGCTCGCCTATCGTGGTAAAGAAGGAGGAGTACGTTAAGGCCAAGACTGTGGCTTCCGGGCGATTCCTGAATGCGTACAACCGCAACGACTGGATCTTAGGCTACCTATTCCGACTCACGAGTGGAGGTATCCGCCGGGTAGCAGGTCTAGCTCCAGTGGAGGATTGTCCGTTTGTTGAGAACATGGACGTAACGGATCTCGTGAATGGCCACATGGATTATCGTCAAAAGATGCCGGTATTGTTGATAAGATGTGGATGGTCTGTTGAGAGTGAAGAGTTCGCCGAAATCGAAGATCCAGACCCGGACAACCATAATGAGCGCCAAAGAGAACTGATCAACGAGATCGAAGAGGCACGCAAGAACCTCGAGAAAGAGGGCAAGGCCAAGAAGAGTGGGCGATTCAGCTTCTTCGGCCGTCGAAAGAACGCGGAGAAACAGGACTGGGAAATATACGAAGACTCGAAGAATAAGGGAGAAGGCAAGGAGAAGGCAAAGGATGCGGAACAAGCCGACAGCAACACTGGTGTCCTTTTCGACATTGATGCAATCCGTGCAGAAATTGCCAAAGATGCACGAGATCACTATGCTAGTCCGGAGGACCTGCAAGTCAAGGAGATCAAATCGACTCTGCCTCCAATGAAGCTGGATGTGTCCTCGCTTCCCGCCTCCCCTTCGGTGGTGGCCAATGGCTCTAGAGCAGGCTCTCGGACGGATCTGACCGGCGCACGAGACTCGCACGATACTCGTGTGTCCCAGGAGAGGTCTCATAGTTACACACCAAGCTACACCAGACAAGCATCACCACCTGGGTACAGTTCACCGTACGGCGGAGGATTTGGGTCAGGACACGGTGACGCATACGGCTCGGACCGACATGACGAGGACGACATTCAGATGACATTCGATACCTCGTTTGACGATCATCCGCGGTCAGCAACGGTAGCACCTACTGAGACGGCAGCAACTAGGCCACAGGTGAAGACGGCGCAGACACTGCCAACGATGACATTGCATGAACCGTGGGGGGATTCAGATGATGATGATTTTGGCAAAGAGAAGGAGATTTCAATGACATTCGCCTGAGTTGGTGATTTAGGGGTTGCCTTTTTGAGTTGCTGGCGTTTCGGATCAGACGAGCGATTGGAGGGCCTCAGTCTCTTGGTCTGGACTGGACTCTGCCCTGACTCTACCGCTGACTTTGAGTTTGACTTTTCCGGCGCAAACAAGGCTTGATGGTTTTTTTGGATGTTGTTGCATTCACCAAGGAGTAATCAAAATCGGCTGGAGTATCAAATACACATAAGACATAGTAGTTAGTACCATCTAGAACGCTTTGCGAAGTAAGTATGAGCAATGACAAAGACGAGACTCAAAGAGGAGGATCATTAATTCTAATGTTGGTGTTTTGCGCTGTTGCATTATTGGTCCGTGTGCCACTCAAACAGCGGTCGGCTTTTGATGGTCAGTTCTATAAACAGAACAAGCATGAAAGGGTGGATGTTGGTGGGCTTGACTGTTGTGAATGTACTGCCCATTGCATTAGTCACTACAGACAGATCTGTTACACAGCAGGTCACACGATACACGTGTTTTGCAGCCGTAGAATGCCATGATGCCTACGCCCCCTAGCTGTGCGGGATGGAAATTGTCAAAGAAAAAAAAGACAGCTTGTTGTCTCCAGGGTAGGATGGACTGGAGAGGAGTGGACGTTGGCTGTTAGTTTGGCCTTATGGCCAGGATAAGTGTATACAGTTATGCCTATGTCTCAAAATTGTGAGGGTTGGCGATCATCGTTGGGTTGGCACCAGAATGGCAGAAGAGATAAAGGCAATGTACTCCTTCTCATCCTTTAAATCCTGGGGTGGTACGGCGAGATGTCACGGTTGAGGTTGGTTGGTTGGCGCGTATAAGAAAGTTGCTCTACCACCACAGCAAGCAATAGTTGACAGACAAGAAAGACAAGACGAGTTATAGGCATAACGTCTTTTGGGGATTTCTTTCTTGGCTGAGAAAACCTCTCGACCAGAGTCTTCCTCTCTTGCGACATTGCCTGACAGACAGTAGTAGGCCTGAAAGTCTAGAAAGCCCACCTTGGAAACGATGGATGGAAGTAATCTTGGGGCTGACGGGGCTCAGCACCAATAAGTGTAAGACGATGCGCCGAAACAAAATTCTAGTGGATTGACAAGTCTACAGTTTGTACCTCACAGTGTCTGTCTTGCGCAGATCCTGGGCATCCTGTCAGCCGCAGTAGACTTATCTAATTGGAGGACGTCGATAACGAGTGGGTGCCCGTCTTTAATGCCAACCTTCCATAGGGCAGAGTCAACGTTTGAAGTAGCGGGCTGCACCGCCTCTCCACTGTTTTACTGTATGTACGGAGTATCCGTACGTTGGATTGGATGTCTTAAGTAGAGCAGAGCGTGGCCAGAGAGTTAATGGATGATCATATAAGGCATTTCAAGGAACATCAAACAGAGGCAGACATTACTCCGACACCTGCCCACTGAAAATCTCAACCCTTTTGAACGGTTCAGCCTCTCCAATTCGATACCTTAGTGCTTACAGAAGCCCTCCATCAGAGCCTCGGGTCTTTGTGATGGCGGGATCAAGGGTCTCCAGTAGGGACGAGAGGTTTCAGGGGTCTGAGCGATACCCCAGTCCGGCCCAAGCCAGAAGAGGTAAGGATTGGAGCATTCCCTTTGTTCTAGCAGTCCAGCTGAGAGAGAATTCGTATGTGCACAAGTTGGGCTGATGGGTGGTCTGTGAACTCTCAGACAGGCCAGTGTGTAAAAGGAATATCAACTGCATTAGATTAGAGAAATTGACTGTTGTATCTCTAGACGAATCTATGTGTGCATTTAGGTAGGTATCGGGCAAACGTTTCAGACGCCATGTGAGCGAATGGAGTCCTACGGAGTACAGTTACCAAGCAATGGAAAACCCAACACAGCCGTTCAGCCCAGTAGAAACAACCTTGTTCCCAGGGAGGGGATGCAGTGGAGCCGTCCATCGTCAAGCTTGCCCCTTATGGACAAACACTGTGCTGTACCATCACAGTACCCTCTATACGAAGTCCTAGCTGGCCAGGCTGAGTACGCCCAGGTCTGCATTTGCAACCATCCAGACCAAGTCAAGACAAGCCAGTCAAGCCAGGGCTGAACCACGCTTGGGCTTGCCGCAGCAATGAGACCAGGGAAGACGATGGAACTCTAGTTGGACCTGTTTTCTTTGTTTCCTCTGCTTCTGTCATCTTTCCCCCGTCTTACCATATACAAAGATATTGGAATTAACCCTCTAGTAAAACCACATCGCTTTTGCTTTTTTGCTTGTGCTGCGGTTTGCTTCGTTTCTCTGTCCTCAGGGACTTATTGTCCCAAGATACCAAATCGGCCGTTTGGAATAGAGTCTGACCTGGACTGACCTGACCACACTCGACAAACAAGTATAAACGAGTATCAACGAAATCGAACGATTCTCGACAAAGGACCTGGTCTTCAAACTATTTTCAACTTCAACGTGCTTCCCCCGAGAAGTGGACGAGAGATCTAAGAGAACCTGTTTGATCGGGATATACCACCAATCGCGAACACATACATAACTGCTGATCTACCCCAAACCCAAGATGGAACAAATAGCCAACCAAATTGATCGGGACGATACGGGCGATATTGTGAAGGACATGCAAAATGCCCCTTCTTCTACCAATATCAATTTTCCATCGTCCTCCAGCAGAGGCGACTCGGACGGTGTTGTTGACGGCTCAGGCAACGGCAACACAGGCGTGGGAGGGGGTTCGAGCTCACAGACCAAAGTCATTGTCTTCAACTCCACAAACTTCGAGGACGGTTACGTTTTTCAGCTCAAGGATAGCGACCAGAACAAAAAGATAATCGGCTTTTCCAAAACCGACCCCAAAACCACTCTCGATGTGGTCCAATGGCAGGTTATCAACGACCAAAACATTAAGGCTTTGGGTGATGCCAACTTTAGCGATGCGAAGGCCCAGGGACAACTCATGGATGGTATGTATCCCTTGCTCAGAATGCGTGCGACACGCTCTTGTAAGATTTTCAAGTTACTGATACATTATCCAACGTAGTTGGCAACAATTCTGTGACGCTCAACTTTATTGGCCAAACCGCGAAATATTACGGAAAAGAGATGTACATCCAAATTGACTGGAAGAAGGACGGAGCTTCAGGCTCCACCAAAACAGAGCTTTTCACTGTTACTAATACCGACAACACAACTGAGATCACTGAACTAGACACCCAGCTCAAAGAGGATAATAGTCAACAGGGGACCTTGGAGTCTACCAGTTCCTCATCCTCATCGGCAACAGCCACCCTTTCGCCTTCGTCGACTTCAGGGGCTGAAGAGAGTTCCGGCGGCGGCGGGGGGCTCTCAACCGGCGCAACTGCTGGCATTGCCGTTGGTGCCGTCATTGGTGGTCTTCTGATCATCGGTGCTCTGGTATGGTTCTTTCTTCGTCGGCGTCGACGCAGCAAGAAGGCTGGTGATGAGTATGTCACACAGCAAACATACGCAGTGGACAAGGAAACTCATGGCCGCGCTACCGACTCACCCAACTCGCCCTACTCAGATGAAAATCATATGCAACCTGTTGCTCTCGGTAGCCTCGACCGAGATCGTGGTGTCGCTCCAACTCCCCCACCCGGCGCCGTGCCTCGTTCATCCATCGGGTCCCATGATCGTGCAGCACACAGCGGTGCTCAGACACCCCAGGGCATGCCCTCCAACGTGGCTCACTTGGTCGAAGATGGTATGACAGTTGATGAAATCCGAAGATTGGAGGAAGAGGAGAGGCAACTGGATGATGAAATCGAGCGTGCCGCAAGACGTTAGTGCCGCCTCGCATGGGCAAAAGCCATCTGTAGACCAGAGGAATCCAGGTCCCGTTCAAGGCATTGACTCCTGATGCGAGTGTGTTATGGGGTTTGGAGTTTTGGATTATATTATATCTTGTTCTTACGCTTTGTTTCTTGGGTCGCCTACGTAGCCCGCTTAGTTTTGTCCATCGTAACGGTGCTGTGTATTCTCGGCTTGCTGACGGCATAGCTGGTCTGTTATTGATCAGATGCAGGCCTACCCAGAGAGACACCACAGGTTTCTTTTGCCATGTTGACAAAGGCTCTAAACCTTCACGATATCTTGCATCAAGTTTGCTTGTTGCAGCGGTCATGGAAACATAGAATTTGGTGCTATCATAAACACAATTAGCGGGAAGATGTCGACCGCGTCACGCAATCCTTATAGCGGGAGCGATTTAGTTAGGTTGTGCATGACTGACACCAAAACGGTAACTGATCAAGCTATTATTCATACATTTCTCAACCACAGGCGATGTGAAACTGCAAATCGTCGTCGAAAACTCGCACCCAGTGATTAAGAAACCAACCCTGCAATTTTGATTTACAATTTCAACGACTCATACCGGGCATCAATGTCTTCCTCGCAAAGTCCTAACACAAAACGCAGGCCAAGTTCCCCTTTTTCGTCCAGTCAAGGGGAGTGACGGTAAGGCAAGATTCGCTCGGCTTCGTCTATTCGAAGCCCACTCCTTGCTTTTTTCTTTTTCTTTAGCTGCGAGAAAACCAGTTGCTGACCATGTTGCTTGCGAGGCTTCCGGCCAGATTGCCGGTTCCAAAAGCGCTACCAGCGATGCTGGAAGCGTTGCTGAACTTGTCACATCGCGAGAAGGCTAGAGTGTTCATGATGGTGAGGACAAGAGCAATAACTAGTAACCAAGTGTTAGTGGCATTGAATCTGGCATAGAAACAAAGGGTGCTCTTTGTATTTGAACCGCAGACTCCAGGGGTATTCTATCAAACGTACCAACGAGGGGCAACCACAAGAACTGCAGTCGCACGAGAGCAAGAATAGCCATGAGAACCCACAACATGGGTTGGATATACAGAGCAAGCCAGAAAAAGCGGCTATCAGTCGGGTTGACAGTCTTGGTACCTGGCTCGCTGCTCTCAAATACCCACTGCGACTCTCCCGTTTGGGGATCGACCTCATTCCACCAGCGCAGACCTACAAGTCGACGACCGGCAATGTTCTTGATGTAGTAGAAGTCGGCGGCGAGGAGGAGAATCGTAATGATGAAGATCATGATCCTGCCAGGAAGATTAGTGCTCTGCGCAGCTGAAGAGGTCCGAGGGACGATACGCACATGCTTTTTATGATCCACAGACCGAGAAAGTAGATCAGGACACTTGCTGCAGGACATTAGCAACTGCGCTCATAAGGAATGCCGTGAGAGGCGCACATATGCGGAATCCCAGAAACGTGAGCAGCGTAATGGGATGCGCGCTGAGGCGCCAGCTAAGACTGCCCGGCGCGGGCTGTGGTTGCGTGGCATCCATGATAGCTAACAAGTCGACGTATTGGAGAATAGGTAGCTCGTAGTATTTATATTTTCCGTTCAGAAACTGCCCGTGTTCGATTCGATTCGTTGAGAAGGAGCGTCGTAGTTGGCAAAGGGGTTTGTAGGTGACAATGTACTAACAAAACGTGGAGCTTTGAAGCTACCTGTCCCTCTCAGAATTACTGTGTAAGCTGGCCTTCTATCAAGCCGCGCAAGGGATGGAGCATGATCCGCGACAGCAAAAACCCCTGTCATTGGTTTAGGCAGGCGGTAGGAAATGGCAGATTTTGTCTTATACCATAGGACGTCATGACCTAGAGCTGCCGTGGGTGGGCCCCGACCTAGGTCCTCTCTCCAGTCGGCGTATAAGTCGTGATAGCCCAACGTACCTAGGTCTTTCAGGATATAACCATCATCTACGAGCGCAGCTCATATGAGCAATTGACCAATATTTGTGCTCGTATCTGGTAATCCGTAAATACCCACGAAATGGCTGCCCGGTCTCCATCCGTGATCCGCCGCTCTTTGCTCTATGGTAAAGCAGGACTCCTCACTCTTGATTGAATGCCGAGCGAGACTGACTTCTCCCCCTCAGTGCCAGGCTCATCGCAAAAGATGCTCGCCAAGTCTCTCGGTCTCAAATCAGACAACGTAACTTATGACTTGGAAGACTCAGTTACACCCTCTCTCAAAGATACAGCCCGCAACCAATTGCGCGAGCACATCTCCTCCCTCAAAGCTCGGCCTTCTGGTATTTCTGAGCTGGCTGTTCGCATCAACGCTGTATCCACCCCTTTTGCTCTCTCAGACTTGACCACCCTCGCGCCATTGTCTCGTGTCGACGCTGTCGTGGTTCCCAAGGTCAATTCTGCGGCTGACCTGACATTCGTTACTGATGTTCTCCGACACGTCGCTCCAGAGCGCCACACATCTGAGGGAGATAACCCGATTAAGATAATAGCTCTTATAGAGTCAGCTCGTTCCATCATGGACTTGGCCCAGATATCAAAGGCATCTCCCTACCTGAGTGGCTTCATCTTCGCAGCCGAGGATTTCGCCCTTGATCTCTCGCTGACAAGGACCCCATCTCTGACCGAGTTTCTCTACGCGAGATCTGCTATAGTCACTGCAGCCCGCGCAGCCGGATTGCCAAGTGCAATTGATCTAGTTTGCACCTCCTATAAGGGAGAACAGGGGCTGAAAACTCTCGAGGAGGAGTGTGCTGGAGGAAAATCTATTGGCTTCAACGGAAAGCAGTGCATACACCCAAGCCAGGTCGAAGTCGTCCAGCGTATGTTCGCTCCGGATCAAAACGAAGTTGAATGGGCTGTTAGGATTTCCATCGCTGATGAGAAGGCTTCGGCATCCGGTCGAGGCGCCTGGACCATGGATGGTAAAATGATTGATGCTCCCGTTGTTGGCAAAGCAAGTGCTGTCATCGTTAAAGCAGAACAGTGTGGCATTGATGTTCAGTCCTTAAGAAACAAATGGAAGGACCAAGAACCCGAGTAATGAATTCTAACCCAGCTACGTCCCGCTATACCAAAGATTCAAGACAGGAGTCCATCATCCTAAAAGTGATTAGGCCTCCAGAAACCAACCATTTTCGCATCAGATACCCCATGCTCATTGTGACAGTTTCTTCCCCAGTATCGACTTTGTTCATAACCTGTGTGTTCCCAATCTTCTGCCATAACCTGGTTCGCCGATACAGACCCTTGATCAAAGCTTGAGACTATGCCGTGCAAGCTCTGCCGGATTGGCTCATCGTACTCTATATCGCTGCATTGCGACAAATCCTCGCTGTTGTCCATTTCGAACGACTCACTTTTGGCGCATTCCTTTATATCGCTGACGCAGCCAACACCAACAGACTGCTGCGAGTTGTCCCACTTCATACCTACCTCACCCTCGATCCGATTAATGAATTCTTGAAATGTCTCACTGTCTTCGCAGTAGTCTGGCTGCGTAAGTTGCCTCTTATCATGCTGCATATCTCGGTGGTCCGAGTAGATCTTTGAGTGTACCGTTGGGAAGACGGCCGAATCGAGTCCTGCACCACTAATATGCCCATTAAGTGGCCGGCGTGCTTGTTGAAGGCCCGGAGACCCTGGAAATGGTATCATGATATCATGGGACTGCAGTCCTCGGTGAACGAACGAATCCTTCGACTGAGATTCGTTTTTTCCTGTGGAGTCTTGGTGGTACGAGTGCTCACCATTGAAATCCCCCGCTATGAGACTTGGAAACATAAGGTCTGGCCGATCATTTTGCTCGGTATAACTATGGCCTTTTCCTGAGATCTGAGATAGCGGGTGAACCCGACTATTAGTAGTAGAGATAGTCTTCATACCTTGGGGTTGTTTGACACAAGGTTGCTCAGCAATACTGTGTGCATGATTTTCAGCTTTCGATGTTGGTAGTATTGGAGGTTGAACTTGTGGAGAGGTGCTGCAAATCGGAATTGGCAATTCTTGTTCGTATCGGGAGCACGGTGCTTGAGTTGGCACTGGTGCATCTTTTGCGCCACCATTCAGATGAAATTGTGTGTTCTTTGTGGCAGCTTGGATGCTTGGTCCGAGAGTTGAATGTCGGCTGCCGTCGGCCATTACCCCTTTATCCTGATACGTCGGGTTCTTGCCTGATTGTTTTGTTTCATTCGTGCCAAGGCAATCGTGATGTTCAATATTTGGCTCCATAGTCCTATGAGAAGTTGTTTCAAGAATACCTGTGCCATCAAAGATGCCTGTCTCAATAAGCCTCTTGAGCATCGCTTCAGGGGTCTCGCAGTCAGATGCTTGAGTGGTTTCTGTCGATGGTAAAGAGCCACTATGAGCCTCAAACCCGTCCTGTTGTTTGTTCTGATGATTTCCCTGAGGAAAATCATCCGCAAGGCTTTGTACTTCTCCCTCTTCATCATTTGTTGTGGTTCTTTGAAGTTCCGTGGCGCTCCGTGAGGTATGGCTGCCATTTGAAACATCGTCTTGGTCGCTGGAGTTCTCGCTTGTACTATGCTGGGAAAACTCGTCGGCTTTTCCTTTTTCACCGCATGTTTCAATAGACGTTATATCGTTGAGAATAATATCAGCCCCTATGTTATGATGAGAAAAGACTAAATCGAGTCCGAGAAGTAGCGTACCTCGTCCGTATGTTGAGGATCGACCGTTCAGGAACAGTCCAGCAGTAAGATTAGGCCTCATCTGACAAAACACATGAGTATTAGTTTACTCGGTATGGAAAATCCGCTCGATTATGCCTCACCACTTACCGTCACTCTTGTGTTTGGGATGGCACCAGAGGCAAAATTGTTCATAATATCTCGACTTGCTCTAATCTCGTGCTTCTTTGAACGTGACTTTTTTCTGGGCCTCTCTCCTTCGCTCTCGGTCGTGGTATCCCTCTTACCCCCTGTTTCTTTGGAAGTATACCGGTCTGGGCGTGTTCTCCTCCTTGGCTGTCTCTCGAATGACGTTTTGTTAGATCTGTCTTCATGGCAATTCTGCGTAAAACGTGAACGAGGTCTCTTCCCGTTCTCTTTGTCAGACCCTATGTCAAGAATAGGCTCACGTGGCGATTCTGAGTAACTGTCGTTTTCAAGTAAATCAGATTTTGGTGAAGGGGGCCGTTGATCCAAGGCCCGGTTTCCTGAATGACGAGACTGGTGATGATTCCGAGATATCGGCACAACAGAAAGATCGCGAGGTTTCCAGTTTGGTGTGTAGTCATCGTCCAGGTTTTGCGTGAATTGCGGCTCCGAATCTTTATGACCTGCATAATCATGAACCTTGCTCAGCCAAGCCTGAACTGTGTCAAGTCCGTTCAATTCGACATCTAGGGAGTAAAATTTTGGAGTTGCCGAGATCCTGTGCCGGACCTCATATTGGCCATTCGAATGACGGCGATTGCGATGAGGTATCATCTAGGCCAAGCTTCGGAGAACACAATCTGCAAGTCTCTTGTGAGTCACGGAAATACATTTGCAGGTGATCAAGCGTTGAGGGGAGGATATCATTACATGGTGATATTTTGCAGTCCAAAGATAGGTAAGTAAACATGATACGAGCTCAGCGCCTTCCGCACGACGAGTCTGGATATTGAAAAAGGTAGGTGCTATGACTACCCCAAACTTGTAAGTCATACCTAGGTAAGGTACCTTCTAGGTACTAAGGCAAAAGAAAGGACTTTTAATCTCTTCCGACCCGTTCCTCTTACTTTAGGCATCTGAGTACGGTCCCCAAATAAGTACCATCTAAATGTCGTTTTCTTCTCACGTTATAAGAAAGCCTTGATATGTTCTCGTCGCCGATAGTTCTTGAGGTCGCTGAAGCCGATATACTCCTTTTGGCTGCCACATCTTTGAGCGTCTTTTATACGCCCGCTTCCCCGAATCTCAACTCTAAGAGCAACCATGGTGTGGCTTCTGATTCCTAATCAAGAGGTATTATGCGAGTTACCTGTCAGATCTAAGTGATGGGCCCTGATCTTGTTTACGAAGGGTGCCTCTTGGCATTGGTGCCTCAATCGACTAAGCCGCTGCCAAGGTAGCATCACATTGATGCTTAATCTAGCGTTTCACTACGCTACTGCATATCTGTCAAAGCAGCCGCTGTCATGGCTGGTAGGCTACCTCGGGGAAAAATACATGAGACTGGCTTACACCAAAATCCACCGATCTACCACCAAATCCAGTCTCGTGTTTTATCCCCCCCTAGGCTGGCTTAGCAGAGTTACCTATCCTTACCTAGGGGAGGAAAGAAAACTCAGGACCTTGACCCTAAGGGATGAAAATACTTAGGTCAACTTAGCCTAAGTTTAGGTTTCTCTTTGCCAAGTTTATTTTGACACCCTATATCAAGGTAGGGTGTTTTCTTGCCCCTGAGGCCTACCTATGTGTTTCCCGTATTTTCCTTGTTGAAACATTCAAGCAAGTGGTACCGCGAGCAGGAGAAACTCCGGCATACCCTTAGTTGCATGTTTCGTACTCATCGTTACGAAGACACGGAATCTCAACACGCTGCACGTTTCACGGTGTGGGATTAGTGTCTGTCTTACACAGATTCAGATCCATGCTGCATATGGAGTACTACTGTATGTACTACTCTTCGGAGGAATTCAAGAACCGGGAACTACATTCTACACAGGCAAGTCATCGAGCCATGAAGAAGGAAGAACAAAAAAGATGATGAATGATTCAAGGCCGGCTGATACATACACAGACATCAGATCTTCATTTGTTCTATGATCAAACCAGGAAATAAATAAACAGCGCATGAATTCCTCAATGTCACAACGTCTTGCAAGCCTTGCAAGCCTACCATGCTGGTATGCTCGCTTGGCCCCTGAATCAACCCTCCACCTCAGTGAGAAGGAGGGGCAGCACGTGTCGGGAACAGGTGTTTGGTGAGGCGGGGCTTCAGTATTTCACCCTGAAAGGAGCATCACCATAACCAAGAGCATGGAACGCTACTTTAAAAAAGCGTAGGGTCGTGGTGCATGGTCTTGGTATTCTGCGTATGTATATAATGTCGAAGCGGGAAATGTCCCGTTATAGACTGCAACGTTGGATGCCAAATGCCCGGCAACAAGCAGTCTGATAAATATAAAATACCAGTAAGTTCACAGGTACCAACCGCCAACCAGAGTTAACGGAGGAGGACCGGGATATTGGCTCAAGTGGATTGAAGGGGGCTATGCCAGCGGCGAATTGAAGAGTGGCAGTATGATGAGAAGGGGGAAGATCGTCAGACTGTTATGCTTGACTTAGGGGCAGAATGCGGTTTAAGCCTAGGCGCGGTGCTTGGCTTTGATGGTTGTGGGGAGAAGTTTGGACAGGATGTGGAGGGCCGTCGTCATCACAGGCCCGCACGAGCTTGAATGAAGCTGATGGATGCCGCCAAAACCCTCATGGCCACGGTGAGGGTGGTGGGTTAGGTAGTGCACCTTGCACCCAAACTTGGACTGCCCCTGTGCTTGCTTCTGCCGCCCAAAGCTTGTTTGGAGAAAGCTTCCCCTGCCAGAACCGAGTCCGAAACGTCCTGACCAGACACCCTTGTCGTCTGTCGCGGTGACGGTACGGACAGGTGCAGTCTATCAGCACTGCCTCCACGGATGTGCCCACCGGGCACCTGGGATCGACGCGAGGAGGGAGCTTGGCTTCGAATTATGAAGGATGGTGGAAATGAAGCAAGTGCCATCAACTCGAGCGATGGCGATAGACTTTTGGTTCATCTTGTATGTAGAAAAGAAAGCCCTGAGCAGCGAAACATGGCATCAAATCAAGCGATCCAAGGTCCCTCGCCAGACAGACATGGGCAGAACGAGATATTCTAAAACACCCCTGGCAAGCATCGTCATTCAACGCCGCTGCCGATAGACTACAGAAAAAACGTGCCTGCCGTGCCTCCAGCTCGCTCACTGCATTGTGCTGCAGCTGCAGGTTGCATACATATAGATACATACATACATAACATCAACAGTCACGTTCTGCCCGCATTTTATTACATTACATGCTCAGGACCCCTCTCATCCATCCTTGGACCTTGAACCACGCCGTCTAGTGAATATAATAAGCTAAGCTAAAGCTACCTTACCTGTTTGTTACCCGGCTTTCTCTGTCTCTGCTTTAACTTCATTACATCCGCAACCTCTTCCCGTTCTGAAGCTCCACCGTCAACTCTCTCCCTGCACCTCAGCTCAACCACTTGTCAACTGGTTGTCCTTGATAATTAGCGCAAGCGCTCAGTTTCTTGAAGAGCAAGATCAAGTCTTTGGAAATCGCAGTCACCAATCCCGAAGGCATCTGCTGCAATCAAGGTGCGCTCTTTATCTCATTGTGCCCCTCATACCCTCCTCACTCTGCATAATCTGTGTCTACCTATAAGCGCGCGCCTTTCTACCCAACGACGCGCGGCATCTTGATCACAGAGATTAGTGACCGTGATTCCGGGGAGGCTATCAAGGACTCGGTTTACTCCGTGGATCCGATCCTGTGCGAGCCTGTTCCTCTGCGGCGCATCTACAACCATCGTGATAATCTTGTTTTCAGTGGTCTATCGTAGCTGACGTTTGAGCCAGAACCCACGATCCAATATGTCTAAGCTTTTCATTGGGTTCGTCTCAAGCATCTCTTGCGGCTGCACCATCTGCTAACTCCCGTTCAAGTGGCCTAGCATGGCACACAGAGGAAGCTACTCTGCGTCAGAAGTTTGAGGAGTTCGGCCCTGTCGAAGAAGCTGTAGGTAACTCTGTTCCTTTCTTTCCTTCAAGCAAAGCGCTCTTAGTTCTGCATATCTGTGGCTCTGATGCGGGTGTTTGTTGGACCATAAGATCACTTCTAACGATGGATATGGAAAGGTGGTGGTCAAGGACCGTGATACCGGCCGCAGCCGTGGCTTTGGATTTGTGCGATACACCCAGGAGGGCGATGCTCAGAAGGCCATCGCAACCATGAACAATGTCGAGTACGAGTCACTTTTGTTCCTTATTTCATGGCGGATCTGCTATCTCATTCCATTACGGAATCTAACCGTATCCAGGTTTGACGGACGAACCATTCGAGTTGACAAGGCATCCGACAATGTCCCCCGAGGCGGCTTCGGCAGAGGAGGTGGGTACGGGCGAGGCTTTGGGGGGCCGGCTCCGTACGGAATGGCTCCGCCTGGACACGGCTACCAAGTCCCTGCCCCGAACATGTATGCGCCTATGCCTTATGGCCGGGGATACCCCCCTCCCCAGCAAGCCTACGGCGCTCCTCCCCAAGGTAAGCTGAGAACGAATCATCGAGGCAATCCATAACAATGCTAAATTACATATAGGATTCATGCCTCAGCAGCAGTTCGGGTACCCTGATCCTTCTCAAATGCCTCCCCAGCAACAACCCCCTCAGGGTGGAAGGGGATATTAGATGACGCAACTTAAGGCCGGAATGGAGTGACACATTGCGCTCGAAATGTTATCGACGGGGCCTTGAGGATTGGAAATTTCAATGGCGGTTGACTTCGACGACTTCCGGCTCCTGGGCTTGCGGATTCTTTGTACGACTGGATGATAAGGTCAGGCATTGGTGAGCATATTGAAACGCAGAATTATACCCGGGCACTTAGGTTGAAGCGTGGTTTTTAGGGGGCACGGTAATGGCATTTGGGCTGGTATGGTTTGCCATCTTGACACGGCCGTTTTTACGAATGAACCTTGTGCGAAAAAGTGACGGAGGATTGCCTCTGTAGGGCAAGAACAAAAATGCGAAATGGCGCTGCATGCGATCTGTTTCTTTTGATTATATGTGCTTTGATACGTGAATGTCGCTGGCTAATCGAGACTGAAATTGGTGACAGTTGTGGAGCGATGACACGAAGCATGAGGAGCCGCATCTAGCTGCTCATTACAAGTATGCTATTCATCATGAGGATCTATAGTCTGTTTATATATGCTTGCTGAGATTGTGTATTTGATGCATTGCCTGTTTCCTAGTGATGTGGCTCTTCGATTTCTTCTGCTTCTTCGGTACTGTGCTTTTGTTGATGGACTGAAGTCGTCGGGTTGAGGAGTTTAGTTTCATCCTCACAATTCTTCTCAAGTTCCCGGACACGGCGGGCCAGATCATGAATGTGATGGTCGCCACTATCGGGAGCAAGCTCACTGAGGGCGGTATCGAGGCTCAAGAGGTAGTCTTTGTTCAGGCCGCTGGGGCCTTGACTGCGGAAGATGTGCTCGGCGAGCTCCTGGGGCTCCTGGGGACCGACAAATTGCTCATTATCTGGGGTTCCGATGTAGACCAGAGTGCGAATAGGGGGGGAGCCATCGGCAGGGTGGAATGGAGCGTAGTGAATGGTGTAGCCGTTGATCTCGCGAATATCGAGATACTCCTTGACTTCGGTTACTTTCTCGGGAATGATACGATATGCAACCCCCCAAACTCGCTCTGGAGCAGAGTCGTGACTATCAGTTAGCTGTTCCCAGTAAGATCTCTCGATCAGAGTGACGACCCGTCCGGGGGCCTCAGGAGTGCCTCTATGGTCCTCACTATGATCGATTTTAGTTAGAGTTTCACACCGGTTGTTTGAAGGTGACTACCTAGCCTGGGAGGAATGTTAGTCGAAGCATTTACGACATGGGCAATAAGGTGTTTTACCTGCCAGAATCGACGAACATAGCCATCTACCCATCCAGCAATTCTACGGTCTAACGGGCAAGATCAAATGTCAGCGAAGAGGCCATTGAACGTGTAAGACAGGCACTGGTTGATGATTTACCAAAATGTGGCGGAGGCTTCCATATCAAGCTTCTGTAAATGACATTAATTACGGAAAAAGAGTCTGCTGCCAGTGAGGTCTCGGCATACCCGTATCCATATAACCAGAATTCGGAGGGTTGTGATGAGTCTTGATCGGGCATTGTGAAAAGGACTACAAGCTGGGAACATTAATAATGCATTTGTATCTGTGTTGACGACGTCCACTTACTAGGCAGGCAAACTGTCTATTTAGATTGGTTGACTGGGCTTAAGAGTACACAAGACGATACGGTTCAGCTGACAATTGATCTTAACGATGTGACTCTTGCCGAGTTTCAGAAGGATCTCAAGACCTAACCTCGCTCGACCCAACCTACTGAAGTATAGAGTTAGATTGAAGACGTGTAACGTACTAAGGTAGTGGAGGTATATCGTGTCTTGTCCGATTGATGAGGTGATAGCCACTAAGAACGAGAGGAGGCTTGTAAGCAGGGGTCAGAGAAAACCATAGAACAATAATGGAACAAATTTCTCCATCTCGTCCCCTAGGCTCCCTGCTCCCCTCCAAGACGACACCCGTCAACTCCGCGCCTCCACTGAGATGCTCAATTCTAGTGGCTGAGGCTTTTCTCGGGTTCAAAGTGGCTGATTAGGTACCTGCTCCCTTTTTCGGATCGACGTCATTGGATCTGATGGCCCACATAACGGACGGGACCGCTGTTGCCGTGTCCGAGAACCTTACCCAAGGGAAGGGTCCTTTCTTCATCTGGGCTGTCCATCTATCAGACCCCGAAAATGAAAGTGAGGCCCTACTTGGTATGATCTTCGATGCTGATATCTAATTTTAGCTCTCCGGTGAGCACGTCTCCTGTCTTTGATTGTTAAAAGTCTCCAGGACTATTTGCGATTTACACAGTACCTATGTATCTGTTCAGTATGTAGTGGAGTGAATTGACTATTTGTATGTACCCTACCTTAGTAGGTAGTATACGCGAACTGAAAATTCCCTAGAAATAAAGGGTCCCAACGCCTTGGCGCGAAAGGAGCAAGTCAGGCTTTTTTATCCCAGCGCTAGTCTCATAGCTAGGTACTAATCTTCCCTGTCCTATATCAGATAAGACCACGGCATTTGATACCCGATAACGAGGGATGATATGTATCGAGTCTAGGAACACTGAGTCTTTTCATCCTTGTCAATGGCCTCTTCTTCGAATACCTGGGTAGGCTTAACTCTCAAACCTGTACTTGCTGTACGAGTGAACAATCGTTTCTTTGAAATATCAGTCAATTGTACTTGGTTAAGTCATGAGATGTGAGGACAAAAAATCCGAATCTTGTCTCACCCAAGCATTCCCACTATCAAGACCAACTACTCAGCCACGCTCTTGTGCTCTGTTCTCACCCTGCGCTCCACCAACCAAACGACACTGCCCCGCGCTGGAGATTCCCCTCGGCTGGGGTCAACAACCACTGCAGGTAGGGTGAGGTGAGGTGGTGCAGTCATACCTTAGACTACCTAAGGTACGTACGTAGTAGGCCAGATAGGACAACCAAGGTACTAATTAACTGGGTGGCCTTCCAGTTACTTCTTCAGCCGCGCACCAAACCAACTCAGCCCAACCTTCAAAACCCCCTTCACACGCAACATCTCCTTTCTCTATCCTGACTTCTTCATAAGTCTCTCTTTTCGTCTGAGTTGGAATTGGAAAAAGAAATACACAACCTCCCGCACTCATCATGGCCTACAACCGCCCCTACGACGAGGATGCTCTCCCTAGGTATGTCCCATGCTTCAGCCAAACTGCCCCTCGTCTCCCCGCGTATTTGTCCATTGCGGCTCTGCGATTGCGGCTCGAAGCTATGGGTTGACACACGTCACGATGCAACACAAAGCTGACCATGTAACTTGCACAGATTCGCTGAGCCAGAGCCTGTATGTCTGAAATATACGCACCGTCAACGTTATCACAACGTCGAGAAGCTCAAACTGACCCTGCGCCCTTCAGAAACCAGGACAGTCAAGGACACCTGCCCCGCAGCAGCACCCTCCTCCTCAGCAGCACCACCAGCAGCAACAGCAACAGCAATACGCCCCTCAACAACAGTATCACCACCAACAGCCTCGATACGACAAGCCTCTACCTGCTCAACGAGATGCGCGATCCCACTCCCTAGGCCAGGGTGCTTACGGCCATATGTCGCCGCCTCCAAACCCTGGTGGTGCTAGGCCACAGGCCCATAACCGCCCAGCTCCCAACTCACGACCTCCTCCCTCGCCTGGTATCGATGGCAGTGGTTCAGACCCTTCACTCTTGCCCCTTTTCCGCGCCGTAGACAAAGATGGTAGGTTCTTCCGACATCATAAACATGCACGGCACATCGGCCACGTTCTTAGCAGTTGCTGACTACTCCCTGGCTAGGCACCGGCCACCTGTCCGAGAGGGAACTTTCTGCTGCCCTTGTCAACGGAGACTGGACCGCCTTTGATCCTCATACCGTCCGCATGATGATTCGAATGTTTGACTCCGATCGAAGTGGCACCATTGGTTTTGAGGAGTTTTGCGGGCTGTGGTCATTCTTGGCTTCGTGGAGGACTCTATTCGACCGATTCGACGCCGACCGCAGCGGCAACATCTCTCTATCCGAATTCAACAACGCACTTGTCGCCTTCCGATACCGACTAAGCCCTCAGTTTGTTGAGTTACTCTTTAACACCTATGATAAGAGGAATGAGGGAGTAATGAGCTTTGATCTCTTTGTTCAAAGCTGTATTTCCTTGAAACGCATGACAGACGTGTTCAAGAAGTATGATGACGATCGCGACGGCTACATCACCTTAAGCTTTGAGGATTTCTTGACGGAAATCCTTAAGCAGCTCAAGTAGGCGATGTATAAGCGTCAAGGCTGAACTACTATATGCCGGAAGCCAGCACTGGAGCTAAACTAAGCATTGAGAGCTCTAGTCGCCATGTGGATTTGATTTTCGCATCCTGAGGGAAGGGATAGGCCATGCATATATGTTGTAGTGGAATTTACGACAGATACAGCCCAGGCTGGGCGGTTGGGGAGGGAGGTGTTAAGATGTGATAGCATGAACAAAAGATACCCTAGGTCGAGTCTCCGGATCCTGGCTTAGAGACCGAAACTTACCTTAACATCAAACATGAATTATATTGCTTAGCATGTTTCTTTTTGACCACTGCGATTCCATGCGACACGATGTCTCAAAGTACAAGGCTGGCGCCGCACAGGCATCTCAATAGTAGCTTACTTACACCCAACTCAACAGAACATATCCAAAGGTTTCGATTTGTAGATGAGCGCTAAGTGACTCCCTTTAACGGTGAAGGAATAGCCTAGGAAGGAATTTACCCTTATTGTTGCTTAGATTTGATTAGGAGATGTGAAATCCATGATAGCATCCTGTACGGAGTGGTTCTTCCAGTTATCCTAAACGACATTACATATATTTTAACCAGAATGACATGGTCTCAGAAACAGTTACGGTGACCGAATTTACAGATACGATATTGGGTATTTTGTTCTTAGTTTCCTCGCGCAGCTATCCTTGTTCAATAGTACCATCCTATGACAACGAGGAGTTGTATGGTATGATCAATCCGCTCATGGCCGTTGCAAATGCGACTTGAATATTCTCAATTGTAAAAGCG